GTAGGGTCCCCCTCCCCGATCCACGGTACCGTGGGCAGGAAGCACGCGTTCACAGCGGGACTGCACCAAACTCGGGGTGGGAATCTTGGATTTCATGCCGCTCCTGGGTCATCGCTGGTGGTCCCTTTCATCCACTAGATCAAGTGAATTTTTTGGATGACTTCTGGCCAGGTCCCTGACACATGAGTGGCTTTTAACTGGGTATTAAGCATATACCATTTTCTTGGCATTCAGAGACAAGGAGAAAAATGTTTTCTTTTCCAAAAAACAAACAAAAACCCCCCCAGAAAAGTGTCTTCAAAGAATTGGAGGAAGATGCAACAAAGCCAGTGAAAGCACGAAACAGAAGACTTGACATTTATTGTGCAGCTTTATCTCTGACAGACACGCACCATTCTAGAGGTATATGAGGTAATAAATCAATACTCCAATTGGAACACCTGAAACAATCAGCTCTAGTAACAAATGTTTCTTATAATTAAAAATATTAAATGCTTAAAAAACTCTTATAACATTTTAAGTTCCTAAAAGAAATGTGTCTAACACTTAAAAAACAACTTACTCTTCTATATAAATTGTTCACAAAAAATTTTGCTATTCTATATTACACTATGCATTTATAGTCTTATTAACATATCTCTAGTGGGTATCAACTCTACACAGTACAATCAAATAGAAATTATTCATAGAGAAAATTATTCATTTTCTCTATGAATAAAAAAAATAAAAATACATTCCCCATGAATGTTCAGTATAGAAAATAGAGTAAAGGCAAGTTGGCCCCAGGGTCAGGCTGCTACATGAAGTTCCAGAGGAGAGGCAGAAAGGCAATGCTTAAAGTGGGCAGGGTCAGGCGGGCCAGTGACCTGGAGAGTTTCAGGACCCATCTCTCGGTTTTGGCGCGCCCTGTTCCAAAGAAACACAAGCTAGGCCCTCATGGCCTTGGCATGCTCTTGAACTTAAACACAGCCGGAGATGTTAAAGCCACGACTACAGGAAAGAATCAACAGATCACTGTATTTTCCTACAAATTCTTCACAAGTTTTCACAGTGACACCAAAAATTAAAACCCCCTCTTCCAAACCAGATGCCTCAATTCTAGGCTACAGCACATCCGAAAAGAGCATGGGACACTGGCTAATTGATGTTATTTCTAACATCCAGAAATTCCCCAAAATATTACTTCACTCAGTTGAAATTTTTGCTTTTATATCCCTGCACTTTTATACTGGGTACCTGCAAAATAAATCTGAATGAATACCTGGTTTTAACGTACTCACTACAAGACTTTTTACTCTTCATCAATGGATCTCCCGTAAGTGAAGCCTACGGCAGAAACCTCAGCAGTTCCCCGAGGATATGTGGTTTATCTGCTACTTAAGTGTCAACATACTTTAAAACTAGTTTTTAATACCACAGATATCAACTTTTCAATGGCATAAGTAAAAAAACCTCTTCCAATGTATGAATGGGCTTTTAAGAACTCCACTTCGACTGTGGGGAAAACGGAACTAGTCATTAAGCTTCCTGAGCCCAAGTCCATCGTTTCATTAGCCAGTACCTTGGGCAGCGTCTGATTCAATGAAATGGGGATGATCAGCAGTGACAGCCTCAGAGGGTGGTTGTAGAGTGTTAGCAAGTACCCAGCACAGAACTCAGTGGAAAGTAGTTATCATCACTACTGTTGTTGGCAGTGGTTTCGGATGGGAGGAAAGAGTTTCCCAGCACGGTCAGGACCCGCGTGGCCGCTTGTCTTGGTGCAGTTATTCTGAGAATGAACAGGTTTTTGAATGTTTCATTAGCAGATGTATTTTCATGGCGATTTGGGGAATTGTGATTCAATGAAAACCTAGTCCTTGTATTAGCCAGCTATGCATGGTCACAAGGAAAATGAATCTGGTCACTTTTACCACAAATGTTGGTAATTTAGTGCTTTCAGTAGCCAAGCTGATCAAGCTAGTCATCAGAGGAGCAAGGTCCAGTCCACTCAGTATTTCTTACAACTGAACATAAGTGGGGTCTCATGTGTAAACGTTATCAGTTACAGTTTTGAATTTTACACAATAGGAGGCAGGTGCTGAAGGGTTATTGTCTTTGTATTCCATGTGGTCTGGTACCAGTTGTTCCCTCTCCTCTGAAGACCACAAGTAGAAGGACGGAGGCCACTGGCTGACAGTGCAGGTGATGTTGCAGAGGGCCCTCAGCTGGGTGACTCTTCCCTCGTTACTCCGAGTGAAGTGTTTATTTTTATCCAGCGCTCACACCACTGAAAGAAGCCATCGCCGTGTTTACAAAAATATATCACAACGACACACACGCTGTTTAGACACATTCGCACTGGAGTTCTGACTTGAGCCTTCCCTGACATGTTTTGCTTCGCCGTTCTGAGGAAGTGTTGCCACATTAAACAGACATCAGCCAGACTTGCACCATATGTGCAAAAATCATTTTCCATTACATTTCTAAAAATCTGTGTATGAGCTGTCAAAAATCACACAGCTCGGTACTGTGAGATGACACAACATTGAATGAGAAAGTTATACATCTAAATCTTTTCTAAAAATGAAGTTACCTAAGGATGAGATTTTTCAAATCATTAAAATCTAAGAAAAAACGAAGGAGGTAGTCAGTGGGCACCAGGGTTCGGCTCTAGAGGACACGATACATGGTGGAATTCAAACGAAGGCAACGTTATGTTTGCTTTTCTGGAAACAGTGCACATCTCATCTCATTTGGTGCTCCAACCGTATTCTTACAGAAACAGAAGGGAGGAAAAGCTATTACAGGTGGCAGAAAAAATTATAAAAATCATGAAGCTGTAGATTCCCAAGTTTGGAGGATCACCCAGATTTTGGGAAGAACATCTGATAATACAGGAATAGTTACTGGACTGAAGAAACCATTCTACTGACATTTGACATTGGAGTAGTAACCAAATATATTATAATAATTTCTATTTCCCTATAATCCTAATGCAGAAATCTCTTAGGTCAATGTTTTTATGACTTAGGAAGGGCTAAGAAACACCCAGAATATAAAATCACCCTCTTGCTCTACAGCTGTCAAGTAGCTACATGTATGTTTCAATTCCTGACCAAAGGAGACGACAGCAATTTCATGCTCTAATCTTATCCTCTGCATTCCTAGTGAGGCCTCAGAACACGCAACAGCCTGAACGCCACGGTGGAAATGAGGAACACGCCAGTGATAGCAGGTTCAAGAGCTGGATGAAACATTTCCAAGTGAAAAGGGATGGTATCTCAAAAGCACATAGCACTAGGGTTAACCGTAAGTTTCCTGAACAGCGCAGCTTCACAGAGACGGTGAGAAACGTGACTTTAGAAACTACTCACGGCCTCTAGGCTCCCTCCACAGGCTCCCAGCCTACGTACGCCCTCCAATGCACATCACTGAAGGGTCAGCTGCCCTCGGCGAAGACCAGCGCAACACAGATGGACACGGACCAAGATGTGCTTAGATCTGAAGATGTGTGCAATGCTCAAGTTTACAGGGAAACCGTTAAGAGCTTAAAGGTTTTTTCTTTTTGGTTCTTAAAAGCAGTGGTCAAATATTGCTGCTACACAAAAAAGACAGGTCCTCAGCAGTGTAGATAATTAAAGCCCAATGCAAAAAAAAAAAAGAAAAAAAGAAAGAAAAAGTAAAATGAATAGACAGATGGGATTATGGTGGTATTTTTCTTCTGGCCAAGATTTCATGCCACCAAAAAAATCTTACAATGTATCAATTTCCTAGATTTCTAAATCTCTTCAAGAAGTCTTACAGTTCCCATAAGCAATATCACATTTGCCCTTGTATTTCTTAAAGAAAAAAAAAAACAAGCCTCAAAATTTTAGCCAATTGGTCCAAAATAACACCAGACTATTAGTTCTCCCCACACCATTTAACAGATCTGACAAGTGACCATTGCTATAAATGGTCAACTAGGCCTGTGCCTGTGGTTTGTGCTAATTGAACGTAAAGGATAATTTATTTACTTTAGAAAAAGATGGCAAAAAAGAACATATATAAATGGATGCTCATAAACTTGAAATGAATTTCCAGTCAATTTTCAAAATCCTTCATGTCTGTAGATGACATTAATAACCTTCAGTAAATGCTGCCAATTTAGCCCTTTGCTTACAAAGGGCGCAGCAACCTGGACTAGTCTGGTAACAGTCTCTCCTGACATCTAAACCTGAAGCCCTCAGAACTGCAGTCTAGCATCTCCGTAGCATTTGTGGATAAGAAGTGGTTCCGAAGACTCGACTGATTTCACAGATGGAACTCAACAAATGAAACCCGGGAAAGTGGATGGTGACTTAACCAGCGCTTGCAGCTCAGGGGACGATTAGGGGAAGCAGGCACACAGTGGGATGAAACATTTTCATCAGTGACAACAAGAAACAGAAGCTTTATGCAAATGCTAAAGACCAGCGGAGCACAGACAGACCCTCAGATTTCAGAGAAATTACAGACAAGCCCATTGCATAGTTGTCAGAATGGTCCTGAAGCCGTGTGTATACAATTCCACAACGTCTGGTCAATTCGGTGACCACCACAAGTCACACCACTTGTTTGGCCTTCAGTGCACCAAACAACTAATTGATTGAGAGTCTTTTGTTTAACCCATCACTTTGGCACTGTGTCAGTAAAGCCAGATTTAAGGTTATGGGAACTGTGGTCTATGAGCCTACAAAATCAAGCACTGAATGATGGTTTTGGATCTTTGGATGTTTCTTGACTGACATAATGAGGACTATTACTGCTTGTAAACTCCCGAGATTACACAATGTCTTCCTGATTGACGCGGTAGGACTTTTTTGGTAAAAATAACTGAGAAATAACAGCTGACTTCCCATTAATCACTGTCTAGAGGTGGTCTCTGTTCTCTCGTTTCTAGTTAACAACAGGCTCTGTCAGCATAGACACAGCATATGATCCCACCTGTCCTATGTCTCTACTGAGAAGTATGACTTCAAGTCTTTGGAAAACATCACGATTAGTACAGTGAAAGTAAGGGCATGCCTGCCCCTTGTCCCTGTAAGTGGTTCCCACGGGACCGGCTCTGCTCAGGAAGCAGAGTTTACTCGATTTCAGACAGGAGACTCGGAGTCTGCCTATTTTTTTGTTTTCCACCCTCACCATCTAGCCAGTAGTAACCTTGCAAAATCAATTGTAGCTTTTTCTTTTCTGTAATATTCTGAAAATCTGTGGTAGGCTCCACAGACTTCCCGAATGACCCTAAAGTGGATTTCTATTTGGGAAGTGTGTCACTGGGTTAAGAGAGTTCAGATTTAGGGCGCGTGACAGAATGCCGTGCTTTGGACTCTAAGGTGATGGGCATAGGACGTTCGCAATGAGAACTCGTGAGAGGAGCAGCGGCTACCGTGGAGCAGCTTTGTCCACTAATCCCCAGACCCATCCTGGGAATTCTTGTTGAAGACCTCATCCTGGGCAGCCTGGGGGTCAATCCCTTCGTAAAACGAGCCCCCGTTGTGCAGGAACGTCCCCACCGCGCGGCCCTGCCGGGCGTGGCCCACGGCGTCGCTGAACACCTTGTTGATCTGCTCCTCTGAGGGCATCCACCAGTCGGGGTTGGAGGTGCAGTGCATCCTAATGAATTCTGCGGGAATATACGAGACAATAAAAAAAGAGAGGAAAGAAAAACAGCTGGTTTTTGCAGAAGATGGTAAGAGAGACGGCTTAAATGTTAACAGAAGCGTTGTAAGAAAAGCTTCATGAGAACTCCAATGCAATGCCATGATGATGCCACTATTAGACCCAACATTTCAAACCTATTTTCTACTCATGTGCAAGAGTAAGCATCACGCTAGTGGGTGGGGGATCCTTTTAAAAAACACTTGCTATTGAAATCAAAGGTCACTCGGCAAGACACGGTTGACGCCATGCTTGGTCAGTTACTGAGTTCTATTTTCAAAACCCCTCCCTGTCGTTACCACCTCACAGTTTTAGAATGTTAACTATCTCCAGAAGCATAGCAAGTATCATTCACGTGGTATTCTTCAACCAGCTACTGATCTGTAGATTAAGTGTAAGAAAATGTTAAAATCTCAACAACTGAGGAACTGCCTAAATTTTAGTTCAGAAGGTTTGCACATTCTTGAAATCTTATATTACAGGCTATATAGCTGTACTTTTTTTCCTGTACTTGTGGTGTCTATGTATGACTGAAAAATGTTTTTAAGATGAGATTTCCTCTAAAGATTTAACTTCACCAGAAAGCAATGAGCAGACCTGGAAGAGTGACTATATAAAAAGTAGCTAAGACTCCTACAAAACATCAACCCTTCCTGTGTCTCCTCAGGGGTGAGGGCACATGCAGCGTTCCTACATGGCTATTTTAACAGGAACAGCTGTCAACGAGGTGAACATCTGAAGAAAGGTTCTAAGTCAGCCTGTGTTTTTTGCACAGCTGGTTGGGAGTTCAGGATGACTACTATTTACACACCGTTTTCTCCAGCAGTGACCCCCCGCCCACAACAAGACAACAGTTCTGACTGTATGACTGGATTGGTCTGCAATGTCTTTGTGAAACGCATGCTCTACCCACCCTTGGGAGAAGCAAATGCTTTCAAGGACCCGGACCAGAGAAGTCTCGTGAATGGAACTGTGCCCATCACGGTTGAGTCTGGCTTAGAGAAGCAGGGAACCTCTGAGGTTGCTGGCACCCCTTCGACTCTATGCCTGAGATGAGAGACTCACTAGCCCAGACTCACTTGCCTGGGACCTGAGTCCCAGCCCCAGTCGCCTTCCCTGGGGAAAGGACTGGTGCTTCAGCTCCTCCCTCTGCCAGACTGCCATGAACCTGATGGCTTATCCTGGGGAGCAAGCCCAGGAGCAATGCAGGGTAATTCTCCAGCCTAGGTAATCATCGTTACAATGCTGGACAGACAGAAAGGAGATATTCTGGGACCTCAAGGTCTCAAAGATTTACACTTCCTATTACTTCATCTGTGTTCTTAGCTCTTCACAAGTGCCCTCCAACCACCTCCAGCCAGACTATTAGCTACTGAAGCTAAGGACTGTTTTCTGCTCCCCTTCTGACCTCCTCAAGTCCCTACTGCATTCAGTAAGTACTCAGCACCTGTTTTAGTGATCTCCCTGCCTCTGTCCACACCCCTTCTCATATGAGCACGAGGCACTGGAAGACTCAAAGACTCAACGAGAGGGAATCAAGGCTGATGGATGAGGACACTGCAAGCTGACACTCTGGGAGCATGTGCTGCTCTGGGACACCGCCCCCTCCTGAGCATCAACTGCTGTGGCAGGACCTTCCCTAACACTGTGACAGCCTACTCAGAGCTGCAAGTAGAGCTCATTCTGTCTTCACAAGTCCTCTTCCTGCAGGGCACCTTCAGGGGCAAGTCGGCTCAGGATTTGATTCTATTCCCCAAAGTGTCCGAGGTCTGAGGCTTCCTTTGGCCACTGTCGTCTTGCTCAAAACAAGGACACCCACCCTGGGAGTCACCAGGCCTAAGCCTTTAGGGAAGAAATCCTATCCAGGTCACAGGAATGCCCCAGGATTTCAGCCTAGGACAGACATGGAAATGCTCTAACCAGCTGCCCTGGACACAGGCTGTCACCACTTCTTTCTTGCCTGTGTATTCTCCAGGGGGAGCCTGTGGGTCGCGCCCCCGAGAGAGGCATGAGCTGGAGGAGGCAGAGTCTGGGCAGCAAGCCTGGGCCGCAGCAGTGTCATGGAGGGCCCGGCCGCGTGCTGGGGACAGTGGCGCTGGTGCTTTGGGGTGGATATTAATCTCCCAGTTTCACGAACTTGCCAGTTAAAATGTAAAACATTTAGTAAGAATTTCTGGAAAGGGAAACCATTGTGAGGCCCCTTATCCTTAGTCCCTCAGCAATCTCAGGGCAACTTCTGCAGTTCACACTGAGAGACAGTACTCTCAGCGGGGCTCCCAGGCCCCCCACTGCCTCTGGTGCTCTTGGTGAGTAACTCCATCACCTCCGATGACAATGGAAAAGGAGGCACACTGTGGCTAGTTTGCTCAGAAAGACCCTGAAGATTTCCATCACACCCACTCTGAGCAAGTGGAACTTCCGGACTGGCCAATGCTGGGTGCTCTGGAGCACCTGTGCCTACTCCAAGGGGTGTTCTCATTCTGGGTGGTTTTCTGAAGCATGGGCATCAGATCACCTGGGGTGGTCTGGAGGTGCAGCAACACGTGCCTCCCCACCCCCCGCTCAAGACCAGCTGAATCAGAAGCTCAGGGTGGGTGTGAGAAATCTTAGCGGTTCACAAATCCCAGTGGGCATCCCGGGAGGGAGTGTGAGACTGTCCTGTGTGATAGCCGAGGCCTGACCAGTGGTCACTGATTTCCCTGCGACTTCCTCGCCAGAGAACGTTCTGATCCAAGTCCAGAGTAAATCACTATCAAATCTCTACAACCAGTGAAATCACTATTGAACTCCACAGGTAACAGCTGAGCTTTCTGGTATGAATGTCTCCGGATGCAAACGATGTCTCTGTTGGCTGTGTAATGTTCCTAGCTGTGTCTGTTCGCTGTGAACCTGCTGAATGAGCTGTGTATCTGCTGATTCTTCCTCCTCACCCTCTGGCCTGGCCACTAAGTGTGGGTCTGATGCACAGTAATCAGCTGTTAATACTGATAAAACCTAAGCAGTATTTTTAATACAGGAAGTTTTTTTTGAAACTAATAAAGTTTGACTGGGCAATATTTTAGGCACTAAGGAAAATGAATTCTAAAGAAATTCGAGGAGTTGGGGGCAACTATTCTTGAGAAGGAAGCTAGACAGGATGGGGGAGAGGGTGGGCCACAGGCTGGAAGAGAAAATGGGCTATATTCTTTCCCTAACGTGCAATAAAAGTCCCGTGTCTCCCTTCCTCGGTTCGTTTCCCAGCACTCCATTCTGCTGGAGGTGGCCTTCGCTGGCTGCGTATAAAGTCTGATTTAGAGCGTGAAACATGAGGTGCTATGCGATGCTTACGTGCCATTCAGTGAGAACACCAAGGCTACAAGCACACGAGAATTTTTAGAAAGAACTTCTCAATACCAAGTAGATGGGCCACACGAAGCCTACACGGTCTCAGTGGGGGAAAAAACCCCCCAAAAAACAGTAAAGGCTGAACACTTGCACGGGAGCCACAGCCAATGCGGTGAAATGAGATCACAGATGGCGACACTGAGCGGAAGGATGCAGTACCTCGGAGGCATGTTACTTTAACTGGATCCAGAGGGCGTCTTTCAGGACCTGTCTCTCCTGACTGCACTGACCTTTTCCTTTTCCCAAGGCCGCATGAGTACTTAAGCTCATCGGTCGTGAAAACAAATCGGATGAGGTATCGAAGGAGCCGCCTCCCGTCTTTCTTTGAAGAATTTACAGCCTCGTCCCACTGTTTGCTCGTTATGTAGACAGGATAGTTGTTCAACAGCTGCTTGCTTCCCTGGAAAAGCAAAAGAGTCTCTCATTACTCACGGAGCCAGCCAGCCAGGAGCCCAGGTGATCTCCATTTCAAAGGCGAACCTGCTTTTCAACCCAGTGGCTGGGTGCTGACAATGAACCAGGTACGGAGAGCACACCAAATAATTGCTCACACTCAGAACCGGGCACTTTTCAAATTACATTTGCATTTTCTATAACAGGAGCCAATGGGGTATAATGAACACCTTTGAAAGAGGAGCTATTTATAACTTGCATTTTAACAGGTAGGTCAAAATGTATCAAGATCCAATGACAGGGAACACTATTTAAATAGAAGCCGTAACTTTCCTTTTCAATCTATTAAAATATGCAGGAATGACTTTGAAGAGTGTGATCAAATAGGTCTCTTCATCCTTTGGTTGGCAGTTACGTACTTTCAGAAATGACTCTAGTGGTCGGTCTTATTTTCATAAGGTATTACTTGTGTTTATGCATCTAACACTTGAGAGACACTATGTTACAGTGGAAACAACCAACATTAAAGAGTAAATTTTAAAAAGGGGGACTGTGGAAACAAAAAAAATCATTAATAACAATGCATAACAGATTTTCTCAAATTACAGCTTTTGCAAATGCCACTATGTCAACTCAAAATTTTTTCTCACTTTTCACCTTTGTAATTTATGTCTGCTGTAAAATTCCCAAGCTAAATAGCTGCAATGGGACTAATTATGGGAATTTCTGTAACATTTACAAGCCATGTTTAGTCAATTGCACCTACACAACCATTACTTTTGTTCTGGTTGTCCATAAAATTCTACAGTCCAGGACAATTAATTAACCCATGATCTCAGCTTTAACAGACTCCTTCCCCAGTAATTAAGGTGCACAAAATAAAGAAGGGAAAACACGTTCAGTTTTACAACTCTGCAAATTTACTACAGGTTATAAATTTGGCAATGTTTGGGTCTATTAGGGTTTTATTTCCAAAAGGGTTCTGTTCAGTTAAACACTGAAGGGCAAACGGCACAGAAGCCCACAGGAAGGAGGTCGCCAGATTTGGCTATGAAATTGTCACCAAACCACACCTGGAAGCTCATCTCCACAGCATTCAACCTTCCTTGCATTAGCAGTAGTGTGACTCAAGTTTCCTTTTAAGGGAGGAAGCTGAGGCACAAAGTTTGTACTTTGAATTTAGACTCAGCCTGGGCTGAACTGAACTTAGTTCCGGGTCTCGTTGGTTGTGTTTCATGGGCAAGTTATTACTTCCATTTGTTGAACCCAGGTTTCCCTGACTGTAAAAGGGATTTAACTCTATCAGCATGGGTTCAATATGAGTGTTTGGGAGCATAAATCAAGCCCGGCTCTGTGTACTAGAGGTGATCACACGGCGGGCGGGACCCCCAGGTCCCAAACGGCCTGCAGCCCAGGCTGCTGTCTCCTGGCAGGAGGTGGGAAGGGGCAGTGATGTGCGTGTCTGTGGTGGAGCAGACAGAGAAGTGGGCACGAAGGGTGTGGACGCAGGGACGTTAGGCAACCTAACAGAGATGCCAAAGTTAAGAAACTGCAGACTGTATTCTGAGGTGCAATAAAATGATTTTAAGTATGTGACATGTATTTTGGATCTGTGCTTTAGAAAAGTAACTTCAGTGTGGAGAATGGAGAAGACAGAATCCACTGGCACAGTCCAGGTGAAAAGTGACCAGTGAGCTAGAGATAAGAAGTTAAGATTACTCAACCTGGCTGTCTAGCAGCAGACGTCAGGAATGTCAGGAATGAGGAAGAGGAAGGAGTCGGTGATGCCCAGACCTTTCTGCCCGGGGCTGGTGCCACCTTTACCGCGGGGAAAGCAGGAGTCCAGACGGGTGTTCAGAGGTGTCCTGAGTTTGGGGTGCACAGGCGTTCCACTGCTGGCCAGGCACCGGACACTCTGGTCTAGAGGCCAGCCCTGAGGACTGATGGCCCAGACCTAGATGTGGGACGGGTGAGCCTGCATGCAGTTGATGTTCAGAGGGAGACCATGACTGACTGGAGGAAGGCAGTGGGGAGCAGGAGGCAGAGACGCAGGACAAAACTTGGGAGAGCAGCGGGTGGAAAACCACACACACAAAAAAGGGCAGGGAACCAGAAGAGAAAGAGAGATCACCGAGGAGGACGAGGAGGAGGAGGAGGAGGAGGAGGAGGAGGAGGAGGAGGAGGGAGAGAGCCTGGGGATGGTGAAGGCTGATAAAAGGGCCCCTGGACTGACTAACTGGCAAAGTCCCCGAGGCCGCCTGCAGAGCATTCTGACAAGTGGTGGAGGTGCAGACAGAATGCAGGGGTGGAAGGGCAAGTGGGAATTAAGAGGGTGGAGATGCCGAATACAGCCAGTCTTTCGAGTATTTAATCTCTTTTAAAAAAGTGAGGTCACCACTCAGCAAACACCTTCCATGACAGGCACTGGGGATGCTACTGGGGATGAGCCGTGGGCCTAACCCTCAAGGAGCAAGATGTGCCGTGCTGTGGAACGGAAGTGCTGACAGAGGGTTCTTAGGGCGATGGAAGGAGTAAGGAAAGGCAGTTGAGTGATGGAGGGAGGGAGGAAGCATCAAGGGAAGGCTTATTTTCAGGGTGGGAAGACTCGCATGTGTGCTGCTCAGGGGGATGACCCAGCCACAGGAGAGAAACCAGCTCACAAGACAAGGAAAAACCAACAGCACGAATGCTGAAGGAGGAGGGCAGCGCCGGGAGAAGCAGACGTGGACCAGCCGGCACCGGCAGGGGCGCCGCCTGCTCTGGGGGTGTGGGCACGCACGAAGGCTGAAGGAAGTGTGGCAGAATCCAGCAGGCTGAGTTCAACTTGCTACCTTACATTTTGCTGAATTCAAGAGAGGGAGTGTGGTGGGACCAGGGATAGGCTGGGGCTGCAGGAAAGGATCAGACCTTTGAAATCCCTCCTCCAGTTGCAGGGAAAGGGAGCAACTGCCCAACAAGCCTCAGGTCCCACTGAGGTGACAGTCTCAATCTGCACCAGACTGACTCCACCCTCTTCATCTTGTCTCTGGTGAGCAGAAAATGGCACAGCCGTGTGTTTCTGTGTTTCTTCAGCGGAGAGGCCCGGGGTCTGCTGGGAACGAGTGTGCAGGTGGAGCTGCTCGACGGCGAGCACAGGGATACACCGTAATCTTATTTCAACTGCCCACAGGGGATGCTGGTGGATACTGGACCACCAGATGCAGAGTGCCAATAGCCTACCACCACCAGCGTGAACAGTGCATCAAACAACGACCTAAATCTACTGTTATCACCCCTAGACATTTATAAACCCCGTACGGTAGAGTGCAGTTACCTCCCCTACTGATCAGGTTCTGATGTCCCTAAGATGAAGATGACACACATAGAAGACTGAGCCTTGAAAATCCTGTAAGCGTCCTGTGGTCAGACAGATACACCATCACCATCAGAACAGACCACCTTTCTTACACGGTGGAAGACACGGGTGGCCCAGGGGTACAAAATGCCCACGTTCAGGGGCCCTGATGTTTGCAAAACACCTTTCTAAACACCCCCGAGTCTCAGTGTGGGGGAGGTCACAGAAGGGCATTCTGAAACACGGGCTCTGCCTGAGGGCACAACAGGATGCCATCTCCCATCTCCAGCCCCCAGTGCCGAAAGAATGGTGGAAAAACTGCCCACGCTACTTAAGGCTCTTTCTCTTATTCCCCGAGTACACGGTTGAATCTTTGTGAGTTAAATGCATGCATCATCATTTGCCACAGTCTACAAGCTCACACGTAACAGACGCGTAAGCCTCAGAGAGTAAAACAAGTGTTTTGCTAGCCAATCTGTTCTGATATATGTGCGTAAGCCATCAAGGGGCTTCATTGTAAGGAAATTCCAAAGGGAACAACGTTTGCTTTTGCAAAGGGAGACCTACCTCGGTGGGCTGGTCAGCTGGCTGTGGGATCATGAGTTGGTTGTGATGCTGTAGCACCGTCTTCAAGTAATCTAGCACGGTCTGGCAGGGCACTGAGGGCGAGAAATGGCAACAATTATACATTAGCTATCCCGCCACAAGAAAAAACACACAGTCTAAAAAGACTTTTGATGCAAACTTCTAAAAAGAACTTATTTTCTAAAGGAGACAGAACCTTCTTGCATATGACAGCCATAGTTATTTCAGCTTGTAAATACACAGACAGATGCCATGGTTTGGGGGAAAGTTTTTGGCTCAGCACAATTCTCTGAAAACTTTCAAGACGAACTTAATCTAAGATGAATTTGGGTCAACGATAATGATCAGGAACAGCTCACAGAAGAGACATGATTTGTCCTCTTTGACTCAAGTTGTAGCTGTAGTACGCAATGATGCTTTTTAAAATTAAAATGCTGAAAAACTAACGTTTCACTATTTTTAATCAATAATATAACATTTTTTTATCCTCACCTGATCTTTTTTCATTGCTTTTTAGAGAAAGGGGTAAGGAGGGAGAGAGAGAGAGAGAGAGAGAGAGACAGAGGGAGAGAGAGAGGGAGAGAGAGAAACATCAGTGTGAGAGGGAAATACCCACTGGCTGCCTTTTTGTACACACCTAGATGGGGCCTGGCTAGGCCCCAGTGGGGACCGAACCTGCAATCCAGGCATGTGCCCAGACCGGGAGTGGAGGCTGCGACCTTTCGGTTTGCAGGATGACGCGCAACTGGCTGAGCCACGCTGGCCAGGGCAAATACTCATTTCTAATGACAGCTTTATGCCTAGCTCTTCAGGAGGCATGAATACCATGCAGTTTAGTCCTGTTTCCCAACAGACTGCACCTGACCACGCAGGTCCCCCGGTGAGTGTCCCATTCTCTCTCAAGGAACTTAACTGACTGGTCCAATTCATATTTGGTTAATGTGTATTTCATTAACTGTTCTTACTTTTTTGAGGCTTAGTCTTATAGAATCATTGAATAACTAAAATAAAACTGAACAGGTATTGAGCCAACACAGAGCCTGACATTTTTTTGTAGCACTGCATAAATAATTCCTACATCTTAAGATTTATATTAGAGCCTTTTCAGGAGTACTAATTGTTTTTCAAGGCCTGGGTAGCTCAGTTAAAAACCTAATTTATGTGAATTATTGCCACTATGTCTTAGCTGTGTGTTTTCCTAAGATGTTTTTGTCATATTGAAGATAATAACAGATATTTAACCGAACCCCAACTTTAAAGTATCACCACCGGGCTTTCTTTACTTTGTTTTTCCTCACCACTTTTTTTAAAAGACCACAAACAAATGATCATCTTCACCCACTAACAGCTTTAGGATTTTCAGGCAACATCACATTGTGACATAACAAACCCAAGACTCCATCAACATCCTTTTGAAGAATTTGAAGATGGGAAGTACGGGTAGGAAGGGAAATTTTTCTTCTTGCCAAAAAAGATTTTTCTTAAATAACCATCTTTTCAGACCTGTGTCTTAGTCCTCTGTCACAGGCCACTCTTGATTTGTCATTTAAATACATTCCTCAAACTGAAGAGGCAATTGCCAAACAAGTCAACAAAAAAAGAAGGTGCAGCTAATCAGTTCAAAGCAGGACTTGGACAAAGCCCGAGTTTGGTGAGACCAGCCAACTGCCCCTAATACCACCTGCCTTTGTTCAAGGTCTAACCCACTTTACCGATGCCACAGTGGGTAAGATGGAAACTTCTGGCAATGGGCATTAATTATGGGGGGAAAAGCAGAAGACTGGGGAAGCTAATGGAGGCAGAAAACAGGTTTGTGCTCGAGCTCTGGTCTTTGCCCACGGTGGCCTTTGGGATTCGCCCGACTCCCATGTCCAAGTCTGTGCGGCACAGTGCTGGGCAGGAGGACCCCGCGAGCAGCACTCCGTCCTCCCAGTCTGCGGTCAGAATCCGATGCAACTGTATGCATGCCGCTGCTTTGTGACTCGGGCCGGGTATTATCTGGATTTAGTTTGGAAGTTTTAGCAAACTTTGTCAATACTGACTGACGGATTAGGATTTGAATGAAACTTCTTTTGATCCCTTACCCGTATTTTATAGTCATTAAGATGTTTACGAAAAAGTTTTTAAATGAAGCAAAAAAGCTTACAAAACTGAATGAAATACTGCCATTTGTGGCAACAGGAATGGATCCTGAGAATATCACGTGAAGCGAAATAAGCCAGACAGAAAGGACGAGAACCATATGATTTCACTCATATGCGGAATATAAAATAGAAAGCAATGAAGGAGTGAACAAAAAAACTAATAAACACAGACAACAGTGTGACGGTTACCAGAGGGAAAGGGGTGAGGGAGGCTGAAGAGGGGGGAAGGGGGTCAAATACATGGTGACGGAAGGAGGCCAGACTTTGGGTGGTGAGCACGCACTGCAATATACACATGTGCACAACTGTACACTCGAAACTCATATAATCTTATTGACCAATGTCACCCCAATAAATTTAATAAAATAAAATAAAACCCGACTATTCATTCATTATGACTTCCACGTGTTAAAAGTAATTATGTGTCACCCTGGCTGGGTGGCTCAGTTGGTTGGAGTGTCATTCTGTGTACCAAAAGGCTGTGGGTTTGATCCCCAGGTGGGTATGTATGGGAGGCAACTAATCGATGTTTCTCACCCTGATGTTTCTCTCCCTCTCTTCCTCTTTCTCTAAAATCCTTGGGTAAGGATTAAAAAGAAAAGTAATTATGTGTATAGAAAAGAGATTGGAAACACGTGTTAATAATATAATAATATATTTTAGTACCAAATTAGGGTAGTTATTATTATGTTTATCCTTTATCATGCTTGTAAAAACCAGTTTTAAAAAACTGGTTTCTACAGTGGGCATGTATTAAAATAATTTGAAAGTTGTCTGAAGAATGTCTACATACACCCAGCCCTTCCTTTGTGCTGTGTTGCCCTCAGCACTGGTCATAGCCCTGGGAGGGCTTGGAGTTCGACTGCCCCATTGTTTATCCCCTGAACTATCTAAGCAGCAGTGCAAAGCTGTGAGCAAGGCCAGCTGATTTGAACATGTGCATTTACTGGCCGTAGGGGGCTCTATTTAGGGCAAGTGGGTCCTGTAGGCTGATAAATGGGCACAAGGCTTAAGGTCAGGAGCATAAGGCTCCGACTCAGCCAACTGAAAATAGACAGGGGGAGGGTAAGAATAGTATGGGAAATGTAGAAGCTAAAGAACTTGTAAGTATGACACATGGACATGACTAAAGGGGGGAATGTGGGTGGGAGAGGGGGTAGAGGGTGGAGGGGAGTGAAGGGGGAAAAATGGGACAACTGTAATAGCATAATCAATAAATATATTTAAAAAAAAAACTGAAATAGCACTGTCCTGGGCCCTCCACCTAGACCCCGACCTCCGGCCTCTCCCCCAGCCCCACCCTGGGAAGGCGGAGGCCTCCAGGACCCGCTCAGGCCCAGACCCCTGCAGTCGTGGATTTGGAACACCATTCCTGACTGAGGGCTCTGCTGAGCGTTCCCTAGATTTATCCAGGGAAGCTGCAGCATTAAGCAAAATATTTTCTGTGTGAGAAAAAAGTCAGTCTGGAAAGCGGAGATAGTTGTGTTTAAGGAGAGCTGAAAGGGGGAAGAAATTTTGCCCTGACCCACAACTACACCACGCCGTCTGCCTGCGAGAAGTGCAGGGCACCCAGCAGGGAGTGGTGGGAAACCGGGCTTCTTGCCCTTTTGCTCCATCAACCTACAGTTCTGTGGACACCCTGTGGAATTTCTGAGTGAGGATGTGGGGCCCTCGCCGACGGTGAGTATGGGGCCAGGGTTTCAGGTGGGGTCCAGGCCAGACACTGGAAGGGAGGGAGGTCAGGGCTTACGGCAGCATAAAGACCAACAGAACTTTCAAGGAGCCAATTAGGGCTCCGGAGGCCTTCAACTCTGACTGTCTCCTTGTGCACATTATGAATTTGAAGCAAGGCACTGTTGCTGGTGGAGAAGCTATCACCTCAGACCCAGCAGGCAGGGTTCACTTACTCACTCACACGTTTTGCCAGAGAAAGCCGGGTCCATCTCACAGGGGGAATACAAAAATCAAGGAGGAGCCCCAAACTGTAGCAGTTTCCAATAAAAGGGAAGCAAGAATATAAAGGTACCCCAAATGCCCCTAGTACCTATCCTGAAATTACTATTTATGTAGTGATGTTTTAAAATGCATATTAGACAATCCTGGAAAGAGTATTAAATACCCGGGAGAAAAAAAGCTACAACGTAGAAAGTTCTTTTGCGTCCATAAGGTAAAAATTGAGAGGACAGACTGCAAATGTTCTCCATCAAGCACCCACACCACGTAAATGACTGCGCTGCTCTCAGACCCAAAGGCGGCCCCTGGCCTGGAAGGCTCGCGGGAGAGTGGAGCCCGCAGACAGGGTCTTTAGCACAGTCTGTGAGAACACTAGTACATAACACTCACTGACAGAAAGGCCTGGGCATCAGTCCTAAAGTAATTCTTGGACACTATATATTTTTCTTAGTACCGACTCTGGCACTTTTGAACTGTGTAATCCCAGCCAAGTTACTTACCCTTTCTTATCGCATGTGTGAGGATATTACCCACTGCACACAGTTATTGCGCGGATTAACAGAAACAACACAGGCACAGAAGAAGGCGCCCAGCAAATACCGCCTAATGTAAGCTATCGCTGTTTTACGACCAGGAGCCTAGTGAATTCCTTGGAGAGGCCACTTAATTGACTCTGCTGACGTGGCTGCTGTATTGTGAGTGACTGTGAAGTGCGGCTCTTCCAAGGCACTGCTCCAGTTCTGTTTTCGCCTATATTAAGGGTACTTGGGCTTTGAGTGCCTACTTTTCATTGCAGATCATTGCATTACAATCTCAACTGTAGTTTCTCTTTCCGTTCCCCACGCATTATTTAATCTACCTTGTTAGATAGTTGTAAAACTCAAAACGTTACTTCAAAATACACCACACACAATTTGACAGGGAGACTGAAATTATTTACTGTCCTCGACGATCACGCCAGCTGTGTGCTGATCTCC